ACACAAACACACACATACAGACAACCCAGTGACAATATGCGTTTGTACTGCTGTTACACAGCACAAAACGCATAAAAAAATCAGAGTAATTGTGGTACTTGCTTTCCTTCTCGACCTATTCTGCTACACCTTATCATTCACTTGAACACAAGAGAAATTTTTGTATCGTACTAGATTAGCTTCCCAAATTTTCTGTTTCTTATTGCCTGGGTGCTTGAAGCAATAATGTCTTTTATGCTTGCTGAATAACGGAAATTGGTAGGTCTCTCAAAGAGCAATGGAGCGGCGGATGGTTGGCGCCAAAAGGCTGCAACACATTCCAAATGAAGTGCTACGAGTCAGATCTGGCGTGAAAGACATTACTGAAGCAATGCGCGCCAGCAAGAAGAGATGGGCTGGTCATGTGGCATGGATGTCAGAAGCGGATAATGGAATGGTATCCACGCACAGTCAAGCGAACACTGGGGAAGCCACCAGTGTGGGGTGGAAAGACCCCATGGTACGCCAGTATGGTATTTAAGGTTAAAAGAAAAATATAAGAATGATGATGAAATAATATAAGGATGGTGGAAAAGGTAAGAAAAGATGCGAAAAAGAAATATTAAATTAGGTAAGAAATGTTTCGATCCATTAAGTCTTATACATTTCTTACCGCTACCACAACTGGACCTCATCGTCAGTACGACGACTGTGGTAACAATATAATTTTGTTAAGAGTAAGAATTAATTATGATGAAAAGGACATAAATGGTGTAACTGATGTTAAGGATGTAAGTTGGAAGAAATAAATTGAGTAGAAGAAATGGAAACTCTTTAAGAAGTTGGAGAAAAAGGTAAGAATAAAAGAGCTAAAATCGTGTAAATAGAAAAATCTAGAGGCGTGGACTGGGAGAGTGCAAAAACGAATCGAATGGAGAAATTGCCAGCACTGCATCGATGGCATGACAACTAACGTTACAGACATACAGCTGCTTAAGTATTCAAGTAAATATTGCGAGGGTACCACAATTTACGCGGTTGCAATACCTCAAAATGGCAATATACGAAAAGTAATACGAATTGCCGCTTTTCTCGTCGTTTTGGGCCTACCTCCTCCACAGAATTTCAAAAAACCGCTCGAACAGAATCGTAGTCGCCTGAAAATTTCCTGTGTGCACAGAAGGAGGGCAGGCTGAGGATTTGTAGATGTTTCCGCGAGGAAAAAAGCAAAAATTCACCTCCTCTTGTCTTCTTTACTGAAATTGTCTTCTGGATTAAATTTCTTGATCATCGGTACGTTCAATATCACTGGTGCTTCTCTGGCCGAATCTGCTGGCGCATCTTTGGTGGCTTCTACGTATGCTTGCTAAAAAAATCATATACTTTTTCCAGACGAGACAACGAGATGTTTTTTTTTTGGAGGCTTGAAAAGTGCAGTTGTTTTTTACGGTTATGAAGATATTCTCCCGAATGTTACATTTGGGAGTATATCTTCATAACCGTAAAAAACAACTGCACTTTTCTCAGGAAGAACTATTCCCCGAACAAAAAAAAAAAAGAACAAAATTTTCATCGAAAATATTTTCAAAAAAAAAAAAGAAATTGGTCAAAAAGTCAAAATCTCCACCATACCAATTCTGTATAGGAGACGGAACCTTGGAAGTGGTCCAAGTGGTAACAAATGTCAATAGCAACCAGTACCTAGAATGTCGGTGGCTCCCTCTTTCGAAAGTCGCTTACAAGCAAACTGATGGCGGGTTTTTATTCTCTGGCATGAGCCAATTTACCATCGAAACGAATGAAAGAATCATAGATGGATTGGTGTGTCACCGATGGAGCCGAACTCTCAACCTACTGCAAGACAACGGTGTTGCTTCCACTGTGCCATATTTGTCGGTTTAAAAAAATTTTTTTTTTCCAAATTTTGCGATTATTTCTAAAATAATTAGCTAAAAAAGAATGTTCGCGATGAGGGACTTACTTGGATTTGCGTAATCTGTTCAGGCTCTAAATCACCCAGTGTTATTGTTCCAAATGTATCCGTTTGTCTTCCGTATTGCTTACCACGCGGACTCCTGAAATTTTACTTTTTTTTTCTTTAAAATTACTCAGAATAAACCTTTTTTTTTCACAGGAAGGGAGGGAAGAGCACG